TGCCTGTCTGATCTGACCTAGCATTCCTATTCTAGGAAAGTAACATGCTAATGCAGCTTTAAGCCCATAATAAGTTCAGACATGTTAAGAAACACTGATGAAAGCAGAAACAAACAATATAGGACATTAGCTCTTAGAAACAGTGCAGGAAGTAAACAAAGACTTAATTTGGAAAATGCAGCTAGTACATCTGGGATGGATCACCCACACCCCCCCAGATGTTCAAAGATGGAGAGACCTTGAGGCAGTGGGAGAAAGAGGACAAGCAGGAACGCGCCATGCCATGGCCGGGAGAGCGAGAGGAATGCGAATGCGAGCCCCGTTGCCCCATCGCTGCGCGGCTGAGGGTCACAGGGAGCAAGGAGCCGATCCCCCCGGAGCCGGCCGTGGAAGGACTGCACCTGGTGCATTTGTTTTAATTCTGGCCCTATTGTTACCAGAATAAGATTGGAAAATCTGAGGAAAGTTCAAGCTAAAAGCCATAAGAATGAGCAAACTAGGGAGAGTGTGTGCTGAAAGAAAAATGATGAGCCGTGACAAGTATGTTTGCCTTGGCGGAGCTACAGCTGAGGCTGCATGCAGAGGCACGCAGCCGCGTGGCCCCACAAACGAGGGGGCACAGGCCCCCATCCTGTTAAAAAACCTGTTATTTTTTTTGGGGGGTGGGGGGTTGCAGTGCCAGCGTGATGCCAGTGGGGCTGCCTGGGGGAACGGGGAGGGGAAGGAGGACAGAGGACTGCAGCCGTCCAGTGCGTGGCAGGGGAGAACGAGCTGCTTTGGGGAGATCAGGATGAAGCTAAAGCAGGGCAAGATGGGGTTCAGGCATGAGCAGCCTTCCCGGGAGCAAGGGCACCCGGGAGGACCACAGTGCCTTTCCTTGCCAGGAGGGGATGCTGCCCATCCACCGAGAACTTCACATCTGACCCAGGAGAACAGCAGGGAACTGGCAAGGGAGGAAATCCCATTTCAGGCCTTTTCCATGTTTAGTGCCAGAAGCTCCATTCCATTATTGGCAAGTTCCCTTCTCCTGGAAAACAGCACAAAAAACTTTTCTGGCATCAGTTCAGAAGTCTTTATTGTGATAAAGATACATAGATTTGCGGGTGCATCAAAACAAAGATCTGCTTCATCAGGGCTGAGCTGCAAAAAGAAAGTGCATGGCCCGGGTGGCAGGGACCATTGTCCTTGGTGTCCCCCGCTTCCAGACCCTCCCGAACAGGCTGTTAAGCCCTGCGACGCAGCCGGCAGCCCCACAGAGCCTGCACGTCCCCCCTGGCACAGCGCACTGGGAAGAACTGGGACAGATGAGGAGGGAGCACATGTCCAGCTGAGAGCTGCTCTTGGAGAAGCCGGGGAGCCCTGGCCAGAACCAGCATTGCAAATCAGCCTCTCACTACAGAGGTGATGGCCCCACTTCCGAGAACTTTATTCCAAGCGGAGACTCCACCGTGCTTTGCTGCAGGGCCAGAGAAATCAGCTGTAGCCCGTGCAGAGAGGAGAGCCGGCTGTGGCAGGGAGGAGAGCGAAGGGTTCCTAGGGCCTGTGGTGGGGACTGGTTATTTTCTGCAAGAGGTGAGCATGCTGCAGGCACCCAGGCTTTCCCTTCTGACCCCTGAAAATCTCAGCCTCGCTGACAGTTTTGCCTCAGACCTGACACTGGGGTAGACACGGGAGCGCCTGTGGAAGTCACCAGTCCCAGGGAGACCAGACTGCTCCCGCACCCTGCAAAGCTATCAGAGCCCCCCACAGGGAAGCTTCCCAAAAATGGACCACTCAGCGTTTGAACCCAAACCAGAGACACTTATCCTACCTTACTGCCACACATCTCGGGGCTTCCTGTGGCAAAATGGGAGATACCAAGGTCTGGAGTCTCAGCAGCCCAGCAGAGCTGATCAGTGAATAGATGTGCAAGACAAGAACCTGTGGTGTTAGAAGATGCTTTAACCCAGAAGAGCAAAACTGTACAGGAGCCAGTGGCTGGAAATTAAAGCCAGAAGCTATCAAATTAGAAATAAGGCACAGATAATTATCAGTGAGGCAGATCAACTGCATTAACATGATAAGTGATACCATATTATTACTGGCCTATTTAGACATTCTCCCCACTGTCGTTAATGGTCTTCATGTATGCATTGGGTGGCTCTGGAACACACGTTTGAGCGGAATACAGCTGCGTCATATGCAGCACAGAAGCAGAGAAATAAATGTTCATTAAACTTGAACTCTTTGACCAAGGATTTTGAGTAGCCTCTATGGATAAAGTCCTGTAATAGCAGGAGAAATGGGGAGAAAAAAAAATCATATACTTTTCTGGAAAGGTTAAAGTACAGCCAGTGAGATGCAAGGGTCTCACCCTGATAAGATGCCTTCAGTCAACCAGTTCCTAGAGCCTCAGGCTAATCAAGTGATTTTTAAATAGCACATCTAGTGTCAGCTTAGACATTCTGGCTCTAGAGAGATTGGCTCCTAAGTGTGGTCTAAAACTCATAAGATAAAAAAAATAATGTAACATATTTTGTATTTATCTTAGTTTGGGGCATTTAGGTTGCACTCAAGTCACATTTACAGCTTTGAAAAAAACAAAACCGAAACAAACAAACAAGAGAAGGAAGGCAGGAGGGAGTAAGTGAAGACACCAGCTGATCACCTGACTCCAGAATCGAGAGCTAACAATATTAACACCATCGGACTTGCAATAAAGATACAAAACATTGCTAAAACCCATCTTCCAGGTTCTGTATTTGAACTTTTCCTTTGGCATAAACCCTCAGCAGGGACCAGAAGAGCAGACTGGCACAGGCTTTCTCTCCATACCAGCTTCCACATGGAGTTTCTGCATCAATTTCTGAAATATCCCAATGGATCTGCCAGTTCCAGCATCATTAGACACAGCTAAGCAGCTGGCAGATCCCCGAGGAGGTCTCGGGAGAGGAATTGCCGTTCTGTAGGTTTCTGCACTGTTTGTGGGGAGGAAGGATCCAGCAGCTCACGTGGGGAGCTTCTCCAGGGCATCTGCTCTGCTACGAAGACTCTGTATGGAAGGAAGGTGGCACAGGATGGGGTGTGCTGCAAGTGGGGCTGGCTGGGGAGCCGAAGCAGCTCTGAGCACATGCTCCTCCTGCATGCCCTCCAGCTGTGGCAAAAAGCTGCTGTTCATCTCTCATCTACCTGTCTTTGCTGAAAACAGCAGAAGGAAGACTCCGTCTCTAGATGACTCCCAACATCTCAATGTATTTGATAAAACAGATAAAAACTGGTCGATGGACAAACAGTCTGGGGAAGCGTCATTTATGGGCTGACCTGGATCACTTGCTTGGGGGAATACTCCGAGTGCTACGTGTTTCAGTGGAGCCATGTGGGAGGCAAAACGGTGCATGTTAAGAGACGGTGACGTACGGTGTGACATACAGTTCTGAAATGCAATGACTGGAAAAAATGGGCAAGTCCAGCTGGAAAAAAGAGCCCCAAAGTTTTCTCTTATGTGACCTGGCCCTGAGATATATGAATGGGGAACACAGAGCACAGATGAAAACCAGAGTGTATTACTTTTATACACACTATTAGTGACTCTACTACTACCTGCTGCTGAAAATTTTGGTGAACAAATTTCAGAAAGATGTAAAAATTTTCAAAGTGGAGTCAAGAGCTACAAGTGAGGTCAGCACAGAGCACTTTACAGATTGAAGATCAATCTATTTAATATGATACAATGATGACTTGCAAGCACCAACAAGGAAAAAGGGATTTTGATAGCAGAGAGTTACTCAGTCTTTCTGAAATAGGCAGAACAAGATCCAACAGAAGCTGAAGCCAGCTAATTCAGAGCAAAAATAAGACATATATTTTTGTAAGAACAATGAACTGCTCAAAGATCTTACCATAAGACAGGGTAGATTTTTCCCATACCTTTAGGTCCTTCAATATGTTACGGCTCCTACTTCCAGGCATGAAGTAGAAATAACTGGGGGACATTTTCCAGCCTGCACCATGCAGAGGGACAGGCTAGAATAGCATGAAAACCCCCAAGCTCTGTGCCTGTGCTTGCCTAAAGGAGAAAGCTTTATTGGGGATGCACATCCTGATCCCCTCCAGACCTTCTATGGCTTTGCTTGGGGAAACAGGTGAAGGTGTGCGTTTGCCATGCCTTTCTCTACACAGTATCTTTCTTTTGGCCTCCAGCACTTACAGGTTATTAGGATAAGAGATTTCCAAGATTTTGTGGGAGGTAGACAGGCACCAGTGGTTTCCAAGAAATCCAAAAAACGGATTTCTGACTTACCTTTTTTTTTTTTTTGGACCAAGGAATGGAAAATGGAAGAAAGTGATTCATAAACCTGATCAGTGGCATTGCCCTAGTTGTGTGCTAGAAGATGGGCTGCAGTATGTGCACTCACAAGCCCTGGGTGTTATGGTCATGCGATAAACTTAAGTCATGAGGGAAGGAAATTTTCACTGATTTTGCTGGTGGAAAGAGTGGTTCAATCTGTGCATGCTCATGCTGGTTAATTGCTGCCAGCTGTCTATTTATAAAGGAACATGACCTAATAAACATCTTCCCTAGATCAGAGGCTGCTGTATGATCAGCACGACAACACTGGATTGCTTCAGCGGGTGTATACCTGTAGGCACGCTGATCACACCAGCGTCCCTGTAGGCATAAGCACTCATTACTGGTCAAGGATCCTCAGCCATTATGAGCTGCTCCTACAAAAATCAGCAATGTTTGGCTGGGAACTCATGTCTTGATGTACCTTAGGGACACGGGAATGGCTCAGTGAGCCATCTTTGGTCCAGCAACAACATCAGGAAGACATGGGAAAGAGGCTTCTTGCCACTTGCAAAAGGAGCAGCCAGCCACCGCAGCCCAGCTAAGGGCTGATGACCACCAGCACACTCAGTTTCTTCATCCTCATCCCTTCTTGTCCCGGAGTGGCATTTGAGAGCCTGGCCAGCTTTCAGGGGCCAGCCGGGTGCAGGGGGTCAGGGCGCGGAGGGGCAAGCGGAGGTGTGCTGGTGCAGTTTCCCTGCGAGAAGGGCTCTGGGGAACGGCTTCAGCAGAGGAGGAACAGGATCACCCTGTGTGCAATCGCTCCCAAGAGCTCAGTGGGATGTGTGACCCTGAGATTACCCTTGCAGGAGCACCGGCTCCCAAAGATTGCTGCTGCTTTTCTCTTTATAATGCTGTGCACAAGGCAAAAAACCAACAAGCAGCAAAGTTTCATTGAATGAAAGTACGACCCATTCAAGGAGGGGACACCCGCTTGTCTGTCCTTGGCAGAGAGAGGTGGCGAGCCTGGTGTCCCACTGTCTGTCAGTGCAAGTGTGAGTCAGAAGAAATAAATGCCCTTGTTGTACACCGTCAGTAGCTTCAGTGAGAGGCGAGAGGGGCTCTGCAGTATAGCCTGCTCTGCAGGGGTCTCCTAGCCCTGAGCAGCCGGGGTAACATGGCCCCTTTCCCCCCAAGGCTCTTCCTAAACAATCCCCTTCTGCAGGCACTTGGGCTTGTGGAAGAGAAGCCAGGCAAACAGGAGCACGGACACCAGCACGAGGGAGCACAGCACCATCAGCCCCACGTAGCTGCCGTGGGAGAGAGGGGGTACGGCGGGCTCCTCCGCAGGGATCATGTTGGTCAGGTTCAGCATGTAGCCCAGGGTCCAGCCCGCATCGCTGCTGCCGATCTGAAATGGGAGAGGAGCAGAATCAGCGCTGGGAGGTGCAGGGGCTGCTACTGCCCCGGAAAAAAGGTCTGGGGGCTGTGCAGCGGAGGTTGCAGTTAGTTACCTAAGCATGAAACACACCTTTCCAAGGAAGTGGATCCTTTGCCAGTTCTTTTCAGTGAATTCATAGCCATTTTCCAGGAGAGAGAGGATGTAGGCTCCAGAGAAGCAATATTCACTCAGGTACTTTTCTTTTATTTGGTGATACGCTGTCTTCACCTAGGGAAGGGGAAGTCACCAGGCTGTTAAACACAGCTCCCCACTGCTCCAGCCTGCACCTGAGCATCCACTGCAGGTGCTGGGAGGATCTTCCCTTCTTGCCTTGGAAGTTACCCCCGACCATTTCCCCACAGAAAAATATCAGCAGCTCCTGCCACCTGCCACAAGCACTGCTCACCTCATGCCAAGGCCGGGCACAGAAGCTCTCAATGACACTGGCCACTTTGTCCAGGGCAATGGGGCTTTGTTCACTGGTCAGGTTCAAAAAGTTCATCACAAAGTAGAAAGCAGAAAAAGCCTGAAGGAGAAAGAATATTTTAACCTGACTGGGTCTCAGGCTGAGCAGGACAGTGGAAATCCCACAAAAAGAAAATGGTTTTATCTACAGATAAATACAAGAAGCAACATCACATACACAAAAGTAGGTACATTTTCAAAAGTTATGTCATTTTGAGCTACACCCCTCAAGCTGATGAGAGCTAAGGACCCCAAAAGGAAGGTGGAGGTAGGGACTTCACTGACCACAGTATCCTGAAGAACTTCAGTAAATCCCTCTCCTCTACACACTGGTGCCAGAGTGGCACCCGGAGAACTCTGCTTGCCATCACATCTGAGATCCCATTTTGGCAACTGAATGAATGTGCAGGCAGTATCACCAAAACAGCAGAGGTGATGGTCTGAAAGGACTATACACAGCCCCAGCATATAATCCAAAGTCCAGAGAGTCCATCTTTGACCACGGCCAATTGCTGATAAGTAGGGAGGAGTTTATGAACAGAGCAAGAGAGTATTAACAGTTCCCCCAGGGAAGGTCACGGCCACTGAAGTCTTGCAGCTCTAGGACTGATGTTCAGTCTGGTCTCACACATGATGTGTGTTCAGAGCAGACAGTGTCTCCTCATCATATCTGGGAAGCAGACCGGTGAGCTGACTGATTGGTTTCAGTTGTGCTCACACAATTCTGGATGAATTTCAGATCTGGTACCACCACTGACCTCAGGAGACAAGGTTTGAAGGAGCAGCGTATCATGCGTGGCCTGCAGCAGGCTCTCCTGCCTCTGGCACTGGCCATCAGGAAGGACAGCTTGACAAATGAATCAGTAAATGGAACACCCCAAGGAAATGCCTACAGGAGATGGGTTAGCATGGGAACAGTGCAGTACTGGTAGGCCAATATTTACTGGGGTAGCTCTTACACATGCTGTCCTCACAGCAAGTGCAGCACTACCTTTGTAGTTAACATGTCCAAAAAGCCATCTTGCAAATGATTTCCTGCCCCAGTCATAGAGAATACACTCTAGCATTACTCTGAGTTCTGTTCTTCTGATATTCTGCGTTATAGAACGTTGAAGAATGTGAAGACTTACCCCAAAATCCCCTTGTAATGGAGGTAGGTATATCCCATTGAAGGAGCAACTGGAGTAAGGACAATTGGTTTTGTTAAAGAGTTTCTGGATGTTTCTTCGGCACTTTTGATAATCCCCCTCTCCTTGTATATACAGCCGGCTGAAAGGGAATTGCTTTTTATTGGCTGATGTACAAGGGTTTTTGAAGAGGTCACTTATATTTATAGTCCTCTGGTACCCCTGGTGAAAGCACGGATCAAGAAGGCTGCTGTTCTCCATGGTCTGAAAGTAAAATCAAACAAAGCTGTTACACCTCATTCGAGTAACACCCTGGGAAAGAGCCACAAGGAAGGGTGGCCCCAAGGGTCTTGTCACAGTACATTACACCAAAACACACACATCAGGTCAAAGCGGTAAGGATGGTTTAAGGCATTGGCTGTGATTTGGGAGATCCCTGGAGGACCTTGGGCAAATTATTTTCAGCTACATTTTGTGAAGCTGCTGTTGATCTGGGATTCTGAGAGATGGTGAAACATCACCTCTCCTGAGTACTTCAGTTAAGCACAGTACTCCTGCTATCCCATGCCCCAGAATCAAGGCACCTCCAACTGTTAGGACTTTTGAAAATGTTGACTGTCATCTTATTGGGAATCTGCCCAGTCTTTATGGAGGATAATGACATTTCCCAAACCCAGACTAAGGGATGAGACATTTAGCTGGGACACAGCAACTTTACAGCCCCAGTATGTCAAAGCTGGGAGGGTCTAGTATCTCCACTTGCAATTACAGATGTACTTGCCTGTAGGTCCCTGGCCAGTTTCTGTTGCAGAGCCTGGTCCTTGCCATAGCAGAGAAAGCTGTGTGTGTACACTCGGTAGTCCTTGCCATAGAGACGGAAGTAGAGCAGGTTCTCTGGGGACTCAGAAGAGAGTTCATCTGGTACAAAAGTAATCTGTGTTGAGGCTCCTCCAAGGTCTAGTGCTCCTGATGTCTCACTTACGGATTTCAGGGAATGTAGAAGTTTTGTCCAGCCAGACTTTAAAAAAAAAAAAAAAAATTCAAAGTAAAACAGATATATCAGGCATGGAGATTTATTTGGGAGCAAAAAAAAGAGAAAGACCTATGAGGAGAGAAGCAGAAGCACAAAACACAGAAAAGGCAGGAAGACCTGGAGAGGGGTACAAGATGAGATCTGGAACAAGGCACAAAAAAGATGCAGGCTCAGAAAAGCAGAAGATTGATCATGCCTGAGTGTTTGCAGGAAGACTAAGAACATGAAATATAATACAATTGTTATGAGAAAAAAAAAGTCAACTTACTGTTTCAGATCTCAGATGATTTATAAGCTCAATAGTAAAGATCATTGTCAAATTTTGCAGGCACAGAAATATTTTAGATCAGGAAGTGAGGAGGATGCTGTACCCAAGTGAAGCTACTGAAGATGCTGGTGTTTTTCTTTCAATGCTTTAAGTCTGACTACAGTGGTACATCCTGATACTTAGCGGCATCAGGATGTACTCACAGCAATTGCTGAGGCAAGATGTGCAGCTTCCTGTCTCTGGTAAATGGCTTACAAGGTAAGACAGTGCCTGCGACACCTTCCTCCAAGGTATGATTTAAAGTGCTGCAAGCTGAGGATTCAAATATGGACTTGCCATTGATACAGTACCTGCTTGAAATTGCCCAGCAGGTAGTTAATGGTGATCCATCCGTAGGCTCCTTCTTCCTGACCAGTGATGATTCTGGCACCCTGGAAGTTGAATGGAGCTGTGCGTAGCGTCTTCTCTACTGAGGACAAGACTTTGTCAGCTGCACTTTTATTCTCCAAGCTGGATGAATGGAAGAAAGGATGGAGTGACTCTGGCTGACAGCTCTCTGCAGCCTATGGGCTTTATTCTGAGTAGGCGGGCTGCAACTCCCCACCAAGCGTTGATTATAACAGAACAGCCATTTATATGGGTACATCCAGCTCTAACTGGCCATGTCCCCCTCTGTCACACCTTGACAGCACAGCTGCCACCAGCTGTGACAATTACAGACTCTGCAGCTGAGGGTGGTACATGGAGCAGGGACCAGAGCTCTCTTTTTCTCCTGGAGCATGTGCCCCGGTAGGGATTGCACTGTGGAGATTCTTCTCACTCTTCACCATCACCATTACAGAAGAAATTCATGCCCTCTGGTATCCCCAGGGAGATTTCCCAGGCAATACGTAAGATCATCTCCCTGTCCCAGCCAGGCAAGAGGTCTGGAGCACTCCATGAAAATCACACATTGTAATTAAAGGTGGATATAATTATAAAGTCACCTTAGCTCTGATGGTCTCAGGCTGAGTGAAGGTATGTGGGGAGTTGCAAGACGGTTGGGCTCAAAAATCCTGGGTCAGGCCTACTACCAGACTGTGGGGTATGTCTGAGCATCCCCTTGATGTGGGGGACATCTGAGCATCCCCGGAGCATCAGCTTAGGCACTGTTACCCTCCTGGTGTCTCTGTACTGCATGTGGGTGCTGGAGATGATGGAAGGTTGCAGTGAGTGGAACTGGACCTGTTGGGTAAGCAGGGGAAGAGCCCAGGGAAACTCGTGGCTTAGAGAGGCCGGCAGCAGAAGAGGGTATCTGAGCAAAGCGTGAGCTGGCAGCATTTCCAAGGACCTTGCCCAAGAGCCCCCCCGAGCATCCATGGCGGTGCCAGGCACAGTGCTGCAGGAGAAGGGGACAAGCCCTGCAGTACCTGAGAAGCCGCATGCCAGCAGTTGCTCCGAGGTAGACAGGTGTCTCTTGGTGCTGCTTTGAGGGAATCGCCTCTTCTGCTTGTCGTAGGCACTGTGCCAGAGAGGGACCTGCCTTCTCTGTGGCATGGGAGTAACCTGAGATCCCAGGGCCTGCAAGAAATAAGGACACTTCATTGCTCAAAATCCAAGCAAAACCCCAAAGTGCTGTCATGAGCAGTTGTGTTAAACCATATCGCTATCACAGGCGGCAACATCAGATTCACCCACCCCGTTTCTAAGGGGTTTTAGAAATCCTACAGCACCAACTAAGCCAGATCCACGCGGGAACTGCCACAGCGCCCAGCATCTGCCACCTATGAACTCGCGACGAGGGCTGCAGTGAGACAGGCCATTTGCTTGGGATGTCCTGGACGCCCGCAGACTCATTTCTGCCTGCGTGTACCCTGGATCTGCGCCTGAAAATCCCTGACCCTTCACTACGCTGGGTCATTTGTTTGTGTACCGAATGCTCACACCACAGCACTGAGTGTTTCTTGGGCTTCACCTATGCCTTCCTAAACCGTACAATACCTACACGGCGATTAAATAGAATAAAAAATAAACCATGACGTGCCTAAGTTGAGCAACCTTAGCCCACAAGCCCAGTGCCTAGCTTGCACAGAAGCCTTGAAAAAAAGCAGACCGTGCCGTCCCCTCTTGCTGCCTGATGTTCGTCAGCACTTCAGCAAGGGTGCACGCAGATGTTTATTTAAGTACATTCTTTGGTGTAGTGCTTTCCAAAAAGCACTTAATTCCAAACATCCTAAAAACAAAGGAAAAAGTGGATGCAGCTTTCATCCCGGGAAGGTCAGGCACATACAGCTCCCCGTGGGAAGCGGTGGGATATACATTAACTCACAGATGTAACACTGTTTTCACTATCGGCCTCTTCCTCCAGGTTTCTCCTCCCCCACCCTTGGGTTGCATTATCTCCTCTTCGTCCCGTGCCCCTTCCACAGCTCCCTTTTCTCCTCTTACCTTCGACTTTACACACCTCCACCTGCTGCACCACCCCAGTGTCGTTCTCCTTCTCCGCTGGCCACTCGTACACGTATAGGTTAGTGTGGGACGACCCCGCATCCAGCACGATCCCATACTGTGGGCAAAACAGAGCCGTCATTGCTCCTGGGGCACCAAACCAGACACAGCGTGCGCTGGTCTCCACACGTGGGGGGACCAGAAAGGAACAACCTGTCTGGAGTTGTGGGAACGTGCTGCGTCACTACTCTTCTCAGTAGTGCTTCAGTGCAAAGTTTCCATCAAAGGATACAAGAGCAGAGAAGCAGCAAAATTAGGACCGATTACTCAGGAGATGATGCCCTGTGAAGCCATATCTGGTTTTACCATGAAGATGTAGAACGAGACGTTGGGGTGCATGGAGCCAGAAAGAGAGGTTAGCCAGACCTGGCAAGGGCAGCAACACGTTCTGGAGCACTATGCACACCTAATGCCCCAGCTCGGCTTGTTTTCCTGTAAGAGCCCCAGCTCATAATACCTTAATATTCTTCGGAAGTGGCTTGTTTTGGGTCACTGCTACAGCAATTAAAGCAATTACAGCCAAAGCAGAGAGGAATCCCAGGATGAGTAGGATCTTTCTTGTCCAGGACATCTTTGGTTTGGTACCTGTGACTACAGCAGAAAAAGGATGTTAGTATTCCAGTAGCCCATCTACATCACACCCCAAAGGTCTTCAGGCACGTTTCTGCGGTTCCTTTCCTCTACGAAGCATCTGCCTTTACCCTTCCCTGCTCCCATCTCCTGCTCCATGACCTTGTGTGTGATTTCTTAGAGGCAGAGCTCAGCCTTAGTGTCCTGCAGATCTGCTCTTGTGGGCCCTGCCACATCTCCATGGGTTGCCCTGTGCCAGGTGGTGATGAAAGAAGACTTCAAGATGCAGTTTATGGTGCAGCTGACCAAGCAACTGTATAGCGAAAGCCTCTGTATGGGACAAAGTTCTGCATTTGTCTTAATCCCCGAGAAGCTGAAACAATAGATCGCTAATATATAGACAGCGTAACCTTGTGGAACCCAAAGCTTTAACCCCTGTGGCATTTTGTATACTTTGTGCTTCATTTTTTTCACAATGTTTATAACAATTTACAACATCCTCATCACTGGTAATGTGTTTATGAAATCTAATGCTAACATTTCAGTATGTGGCAGTTGGTTCAAGCAATGCTGTCCTGCACCTTGTCAACACCATATAGAAAATAGGATCTGCGCTCCATAGGGTATTTAAAAAAAAAAAAAAAAATCTATGGAGATTTTTGATGCCGCTTCACAAAAGACCAGTAATTTATGAATAGACTGTGTTTGCAGAATTGGCATAATACGGTTAAAAATCACACACCTTGCAAAACTTGTACCAGTGCAGTTCCTTAATTTTTACTGATACATTTGGTATGACCTAACAAATTAAAATTTCTGTGACTTAAGATACATGGTTAGCAGAAGAACTCTGGAAAAAAAGCCATGTATGGCTGGTGGAAATCATTCACAACCAATATGTCATTTGAGCTTTCAGAACCAATGTACCTACACCTGCGTTTGCTAGTGGCTAGCATGACGCTGTCTTTTATATTTTCCTGCTTTGGATTCTTCTTCATATATCCCATGGTGGAAATCTCACTTCACAAACTTACGCTCAGGCAGTTTTGGTATTGTTTTATAAAATGCCATCTTACAACACAAAGCCCTAGAAAGGGTATCAGCAAGAGTATTTTTCAGATTTGTAATCCAGCTGTAAATTCAACACTTGCAACTAACAAATAGCTTCGGCACTCTGCTCCCACTACGACATGAAATCTGTTTCTAGCCACACTGATGGTCCATACTCAAAAGCACTGATTGTCTGACTGCTCACCCAGGCACTAATTTCTCTTCTCCTTATACACACATACTCTGGATGTTTAGAAGTACATTACAGGTCATCCAGGGTGACAATACCTCTGTGCAGGCAACCACATCAACTATCTTTAGGCTCCGAGAAGGTAAGGTGACTGAACCTGCTCTGCACCTGCATGCCAGTACTGGAGATCCAGAGGTCACTTTCCAGCCCCCAGGTGATACTGGGTCGATGCTCCAAACCCATTCTGGCACTCCACGTCATGCACGCAAATATGAAGAGCTTTCAAGTTCTGAACAGGGTCATCTTCTAACCACTCTGGTTTTGCATGAAAGGTGGTCCCAGGTGACAGAACTATGCAAACTGTTACCCAACCTTACAAATGACCCCAAATCCTAGAGTTTTTTCCAGAGGTTAGCCCAAGTGAAAATAAGCAATGCACCTCTGGAAATCTCTTAACTGTAGACAAATGTCTTCCCACCCACCTAGAGAAAATGGAACCTAAAAGTGCCAAGAGAACTTCTTTTGAAGATCTCCCTGCAGGCAGGTCCACTGGAAACCTAACGCTGACCTGGAGCTTTGTGCTCCCTCTCATCACGCTCATGTGTAAATCTGCTGAGGCTAGCTGTGAAATTTGGAAGCTTGTTATGCTTGCATTTTGTGAGTGCCTGTTAGAGGCACAGCATGCTTGCCAGTATCTCCAAGAATGCAGCTTAAAAAAATAGTCTAGTGTGCATACCAGACAGTAGGAGGTAAGAATGCATTTTATAGAGCTTTATTCAAAAAGGCCCCAGAACTCATGGCTCGAAGCGATTAGAAACAGCAGAGCATGACAGCTGGGAGGCTTTTCGTCTTGATGGAGAGAGTCATTGGCTCAGGTTATGATAGCACTGAGCATGTCTGTTGAACAAAAATTATTTTAACACTAGAAAAATGAATAGAAACAGATGCTATAATGTATGATTAGCTGCACAGTATAGATATGAAGCTGCACGCTTGAAAACTGAAACTGCTGCTGGCAGTTGCACAGCACATCCACATACTTATTGCCACCTTACTCTGAGAACTTGCCTAGAGGCAGCCGCTAACAGCCTTGTTGGGTGTTTACTGTCATAGGACTGAAGGATGGGTGACTTTGCACCATTTCTAAGATTTTCAGACTTCCTGTTGTGATGGGTATTGTCTGTTTGCTGTATGTTTCAGCAGCCATGCTCTGAAAGTAGCAGCATTAGCAGCAAAGCAGGAACAATTTGCTCACTGTAATGGACCATCCCAATAGACAGCTGTGGAAATCCCTTGTCTGTAGGCAGCAGCATAACAATAATTGTCTGCATCCCACCTGCAACCTGAGATTACTCATTTTTTTCCCAAGATGCATTATTTCCTTAAATCCAAACATGATTTTTGCCTGCTGAATTTTATCTCAGTCTCATGAGCGCTTTTTAGGACTGTGGGGCTTGTAGATATGTGATTTCATTACTGAATCCCATAGCAGAGCACCCATCTGTGTGAACTCTAATGCTACTAAACACTATTTTGTTGAAACATTTCATACACAAAAATTATAAACATAACACAGAAGGGAGCCTAGCAAAGCAATAAGCTTCCAAATAGCACTTTAAAAGTGTACAAACTTGAATACTTGAATTTTTTTTTTTTAAGCTATTGCAAATCGAGATAAAGAGTTCAATGTAATTAAAATAAAACTCACCTGCCATTTGCTCAGAAAGGTGAGATGTTTGAACAAGTTCCCTTTTCTGTACACTTGGTTACCTCCATCAGCTCTAGACATGATTGCAGGTCCTGCAGTGGCTAAAGAATTAAACTTATTCCCCAGACTCCTCCAGGTCCTTTGCACCCCACGTTCATGTTGCTGAATGCTGTGAACACACGCCTCAGCCTCCACCAAGTGGGGCAGGACTTGACCCTCTAGCACTTCTGATTGCCAGGCCCCAGGACTTTTCTTCCACTAGCAGTTTTCCTCAGCTAAACATTAAGCAGGCATGATCTTCTGTCTCTGTGCCCAGCCAGAACCCAAACAGAGACAGATCTTTGCTCCTTCTCTCACACTGCCCACTGTAAGTGGTGATAAAAGCATCACCTAAGGCCATGAGTAGGCATAGAAATGATGCTGCTTTTCTTCTTCCCCACCCCAAAGCTCAGAGCTGCCTGGCGCTGGAGCCCTGCCCAGCTGCGCAGGCATTAAGCACTCTCCAGATGTTGGAGCACAGCCCAGCTGCCCAGGCATCTCTCTTTGCTTCTAATTTTGGTCTCTCTGGGTTTTTTTTTTGTAGGGGCTACCACTGGTTCCATCTAGTCATTGGTGCAGGTCCCAGAACATAACCAGATCTAATATCCTTTCTGTCTCCGAGTTAGCTATCAACCGAGACTGACGCTGGCAGCCGCTCCCGCTAACAGCAGTGTTGCTGCAGAAACCCTGTTCGTCTCTGTGAATAACCCAGGAAGGACCACACCAGCGTGGGAGGCAGCTCCGTGTCATGGCAAGGAAGCAGGACCATCCCCAGTGTCTTCCAGAGCCTCAAGACAAATAGGAAACTGCTCCTCCAGCCGACATCACGCCGAGTCACTGGCAGCTCTGCACGCCAGGAGATGTCACTCGCAGCCAAGGCTGCCCACCTCCCAGCTCCGGTCTCACCAAACAAGACTCGGCAACAAATGTTAAAAGGAATCAGGCAACCAGTTGTTTTTAGAGATACAGTAAGGAGAGACTAAGTCTGGCTTAAGAACTGAAGTTGGGGTTGTCAAGCAGAAAAGGAGAGATGCTGTGCATAGTCCGAAGCCATACTCAGTTCAGATAAGCTCGCTGTGACCCATCACCTCTAATAACAAATACTGTTACAAGCTCTGGCTTAGCACAACAGTTGAAGTTGACGTTTGCTCTTTCCTTTGGACACTCACACTCAGCCTGTTACAGAAGGGATCACAAAAGGCTGTACTGCAAGGCCATCACTCCTCCATGGCACAAGTGCCACACCGAGACACTTCCCACTGTCACCCTTATGCTCTCAGCACACCTCCGCATAGTGGAACCATTCTCATTTTCAGCCTTAATTTATTTATTCGCTCTGTCTTTGTTCTACCGCTGCCTCAAAACTTCTGCAACTCTCAATCCTCCTGGAATTTATTCTCTTAACCAACTTATAAGGGATAATTGTTTCTGGATTTTTGTCTTTCCAGCCTTCTCCATCTACCTGAACAGTCCAGCAGTCCTTCTCTGCATACAGAATAGTCTGCTTGTATTTTTTTTAAGCATTCTGACCAGAGCTGCAATGAGACTAGCCTTGCACAGCAACGTACCCGTTACACCAGATGATGATACAGTCCCAGCCTAAATGAAGTGAGGCGGGGACCTGCACCACCTCAAACACATGATCATCTACCACCATGTCCAGTGCTAAGTCAACCCAGCACCTCTCCTCTCCAACCCAACAAACCCACATTTGATCACATTTAATTAAATTATTTAAACATGCTGTAAGCAAAGGGAGTTCCAAGACACATTGCCTGCTGCCCACGAGGCTTAGAGTGACGACAGAGAATAAGACGGTGTCTTACAAATCCTGCCCATCAGCTGGCAGCTACCTCTGCTGCTGATCACCCACGTTGCTGCTACAGTCTGTTGGGTGTTGCTCCAATAACTCTTTTTTTAAGCACACGTCCAGTCTTTGCGGGAGAGCTGCTGGATGCTCATGCAATCACGTAGCACAATAAATGGGAATATAGTCTGCGGAGGTCTTGAACCTAAACGTATCAGAGA